AATTTCCCTCTAAGAATGTAGGCCTCTAGCAAGTCTGATCATAATGGAAGGTAGATTGTATAATTTTTGCACTTTCGTATACCATGGGTGTAATCCTGCTGGCCCTCTCTGATGGAGTTTTGTACTCCAGAACTGTAGCACTGACAATTTTATCAGTGACAGCTATTGCCTCACATTTTGTAAAGCGGGCTGCATGCATGGTAGCATTCCCTACAAACCAAGTTTATGCATGAGGTGGTATACTGCTACTGAGGCTGCTCGGTTTAGGTCACAGGGTCATGTGAGAGGGTCATGTGCCCCTCTCAGCTACTCTGTATATTGCCAACCTGAGGCATTAAAACATCACAAGTCTGGCCTCAAAATATCATGAGATTGACTTAAAATATCATGCAATTTAAAGAGAGACTTTTTGGATTCTTTTTATTATCGTCTGGTTGCTAAGGCTTTAGTGTAAACTCACTTCATATTTTTAAGATTTCCTTCTAAACCCTGGGGGCTAGCAACTTACTTTGTTTAAATGAAAACTGAGATCCTCACATAATCAGTTGACAGCAAGAACTGGCATTTTAAGAAAAACACAATATATTGTATACAATATATGTATTGTGAGACTCATGATAAAGTAACAAGAGTGGGTAATGCTAACTACTAGTAATACAATTCATATGCAACTCCTGAATCACAAATCTACGTATGCTCCCCTGACTTTGCCTTCTTGATTTCGCTAAAATGTCTTCCACGCTATTCTTTTTGAGGATTGACAGACAAAGGTTTGAAAAGCTCAATCAGTCTGAATTTTTATTGCAATTCAGAGAGTGCACTTAAAATATGGTTTTGTTCTGAAAAGTGTTTATATAAAAGTGGCATCTTCTTTCACAATAGAGCTGGTACTGTGTGTATTGTGGGCCATACCTGCCAACTAATGACCAAAATGTGTTTTGCGCTGCTTTTTACATTTGTTAGCTCTTCAGTGCCGGCACAGCGGAGAGATCACTATAGCTGGTCTCTTTTCCTCCTGGTGCATCAGCAGCAGAATAGCTTTGCTAAATTCCACCTGCAGAGCCAGTCACTTATACTTGTACAACGCACTGAAGACAGGTTACACCGAGGGCATAGTTTATAGAAAATGGTGTTGCGTAGGAGCCACTGAAGGTCTGATTTGGCCTGCAGAACCTTTATTACTGTTGAGGATGTATGGGACTAAGAAAAGCTAGCTTGATGCTCCAAGCACAGGATGATGGGTTGCTGTACATTCCCTGGTTCAGCCCCAGTCCCCCTTCTGACTACTCCCTATATGCTCATCCTTGAAAACATAAAGGGTTTACTGCAGAATCCAAAGTGGTGCAGCAGGACAGTGCTACTAAGGCTGCTGCCCCACCTCATTTTGGAAGAAGAAAGTGTGTACACTGAGCATCCTTCATGCGGACCCTGTCCTGCAGATCCTGGGGAATGATTCCCCATCTCCACCTAGTGGATAGGGGAGGAGAACTCTCAACCAGTGCAGCTGGGGCAGCTTTATGCAGAGTTATGCCATGACATGCCACCTGTCAACATAAATACTGTGATGGGGAGGACTGTTAACTGAACCATGTAATGATAGTACACATTAGTGGCTCTTTATGTCCTCCCTCAGCTTAGCATTTTAAGTCAAATACAGTGGATAGATTATTACATATCATTACTGTTCATCTGTAAAATGGAAAGTATTGGAGCCTGCCATTTCAGCCAAGTCAGGTGTGGAACATTTAAACATAACCCTGGGACTGCATTGGCCCTTGAATCTAGGAGGTGAAAGGTAGTGTAAAGCTGCCTTTGGTTACCCTGTCCCCATTCCTGTGCTGAGCTCAGCTCAGCTCCAATAGAGATCATAGCCAGGGACTCCAAACTGGTGTAAGAGGGCAGAAGAAGGTATAAGTTACACCACGTTTAGACTCTCTCAAGACCTGTGTAGATTCATATCTCAGTTGGTCCAGAATCACTAATGCCTTCCAATGTGGACCAGGCTCCATTGATTGACCATACCTCTTTTTCAGATGATGATATGAATCTAAAATGACGACTGTATCTTTTCCAGTGGTTTACTCTTTTGGTGTCACTGATACCACTTGCTGTATGTGTCAAACTACAGGCCAAACAAAACAGTTGTCAAAATCCTACAAACACTGAAATAAATCTATAAGGCTCAAAAGAACCAGCTGCACTGTGACAGCCTCTAAGCTCATCTTTCAAGGACCCCCAGTTTCTCCTAAGAGTCCACAAAGGAACTGTTCTCTACATGGTTGTTGAAGAGGCTGTTTTACTCAAAAGCTGGTTTACCAGTTCAACAAACTGTGCCTGTAGGGACTGTGCCTGTATGGATTTCCTCCTGTACAGAAACTCTGTACCCTTTATAACTTCAGTACCACGTTTGAACTTTTGTAATGGTTCAGTTCCAAATTGAATCATTTGTAACAGGGCCAGCTCCAGCGTTTTTGCCGCCCCAAGCGGCAAAAAAAACAAAACAAAAAATCTTGGAGTGATGGTGCGGCCGCCGAATTGCCGCCGAGCGCGAAATGCACTGTGATGGCTAAGCGACTGCTGAATTCCTGCTGCCACCGATGTGGATTGCCGCCCCAGAGCCCAACGTCCTGCTGCCCCTTTACATTTGCCGCCCGAGGCACCTGCTTGGTTCGCTGGTGCCTGGAGCTGGCCCTGATTTGTAAGATCATCAGAGCAGGGTCTGTCTTTTTGTTATGTTTGTACAGTGCCTAACACAATTGGGTTCTGGTCTTCTGCTGGGGTCCCTAAAAAGTATCACAGTATAAATAAATCATCATCATCAAACTTTAAACTATCAAGATAATTTTGTCTGGTATGAAAGACAGATAATGAGATAGCATCTACCTTTTCTAGTTGACATCTGTGCCACTACTTTGAATAAGAACTGACAATATGAGAAAGAAAAGGAGGTAGAATAATTGCTTCTTCTATTTGTTTCCTCGCTGCCTGCAATTTAATCTAATTTTTCTGGTTTTTCTGTCTGCAGTCCTTCTTGAACTTCATTCCATATTTCAGTAGGAATATAGCCACTGAGCCTGATTCTTAATTAACATCAGTTTTACAGCTGTCAACTCCTCCACTTACTTAGTGGAGTTATTCCTATTTTACCCTAGTGAATGTGACATCAGGATAACTATATTTATGCACTTTATCCAAGACAAGGGCAATAGGATTTAATGTATTTCAATTTAATTCAATAATTTGTCCTTTAAACATTCTTTATGCTTTGATTTTCTGTACAAATTGTTATATTGATAGGCCAGTTTTTAATAAGCTGTCCGGAATGGCCAGTCACTGAATTTTAGTGTACATCCTGAGAGAGAATATGATTCTACTTACCTGCCTCTAGTAAGTTGAAAGATAAGGTGGATGAGGTAATATCTTTGGTTGGCCCAACTTTGGATCATTATCAAGCAGAACCCGTCAGGAGCACGGACACATGTCCTCTGGAATGGTGGTTGAAGATGAAAGGACATATGAATCTTTAGCACATCTGGCATGTAATTATCTTGCAGTGCTGGCTACAGTAGTGCCATGCGAACGCCTGTTCTCACTTCTAGGTGACATTGTAAACAAGAAGCAGACAGCATTATCTTCTGCAAATGTAAACAAACTTGTTTGTCTGAGTAACTGGCTGAACAAGAAGTAGGACTGAGTGGACTTGTAGGCTCTAAAATTTTACATTGTTTTATTTTTGAATGTAGTATTTTTTTGTACATAATTCTACATTTGTAAGTTCAACTTTACAGTACTTGTATGAAGTGAACTGCAAAATACTATTTCTTTTTTTTTTACAGCACAAATATTTGTAATAAAAATAAATATTAAGTGACCACTGTACACTTTGTATTCTGTGTTGTAATTGAAATCAATATATTTGAAAATTTAGAAAACATCCAAAAATATTTAAATAAATGGTATTCTATTATTGTTTAACAATGCGATTAATCACGATTAATTTTTTTAATTGGTTGACAGCCCTAATTTTATTACAATATTAAACCTGGTAATGTAGAAATAATAAATATATACAGTCAGTTCTTTTAACAGTTTTAGCATCGTCTCACCTTATCCCAGAAATGTCCCCGCCTGTCTCCCAGATCTAGATTTCTTAATTCAAAATCCAAACCCACCAGATTTCAAAAGAGAGAGAATCTCATTTAGCTAGCCCCAGTCTTTCTGGAAGGTTGGTCAGACGTGCAACATCAGCAGCAATCAGTAATTCAGATCTTCCGCACTAGCTATGAGACAGCATGCAAATAAAAGCCCTTTAAATAGCAATGAGCATCTACCACGCCAACACCACAACAATGAAGCAGCAATTTGAGCCACCTTTTCAATATTGTGTTTAAGTATTAGTGTAGACCTTAAGTGATGCAACAATACTCCAGAACACGATGGGGTTATTTGGATTCAGAACGTTGAATTGGGCCCATCTCTACTTTTAAAAACATTTTTAAATAAAAGGAATAAAAAGCAGCCTTCTTCACAGAGAATAATGGAGCACCTTATGGTTCATAATTTACACATTAAGGGCAACATTTTCCTCAGATATGCAGTGGCAGAGCTTGACTGAGAGATCCACACTTGAAGGGAGCGCAAGATCTTAGAATTGAAATCTGTCATGTGGATCAGAGAACAGATTTTTGCCATGAATACAGATGTCTAAGAAAACTCATAGGTTTATTAACATTCATAAACATAGTTTAGGAAGCATGTTTATAACAATTACTAAATGTTCAATATTGTTTACAAAATCATTGATTAAACATATGTAAGGAGAAATTGAAATTTTTTCTAGTTGTAACTGAGGATTTTGTTAAAGGCAACCTGAATTGTTTCTAATCAATAAAACTGCCACCTCTTTTAGACAAGGCTAACTGAATGCATGAATACCACTGTGCATAGCTGACAAAGACAGAACACTTTTGTGAAAAGACTCTGTAAATTCTTTCCCACAGAAGTCAACGAAAGGGTCGGTTGTCCTGGGCTACGTATTCCGTCACTTAAACCTCGTGGAGATAGATTACTTTGGATTGCGTTACTGTGACAGAAGTCATCAGACGGTGAGTAAAAGACACAACAGATTGGATTTCCCAGTTGTAAATTTTACCTTGTTGGTGACCTTTCTCAGTGGTGCGCTTGGCTGTCATACCTTCAATATCTCATGAAAGAATAAGATTTCCAGTAGCAGTTTCTTTAATTTGCCTGTTGAGAGGACCTATTTTTGTGTTTCTGTAGAAAGGGCCTTTTTCTCCTCTCACTGAAGTTAGCGGAATTTTAGCTATTGACTTAAATGGGAGCAGAAATGTGACAACAGAAAATAAAATAAAAAAAGGTGTTGCAAATGACCAGTAGTGTAAAATGCTGTATATAAAAAGTACTATTCGAATTCTTCCTGTTAAACTAAACCAAACAAGTGCTTCTTAGCCCATGATATTTTCCTGAATAGGAATTCTGTTTGGAAGTGAGCCTGTTGTGACTAATTCTTGGATTGGCTAGAGTTGGGGGGAATATGAGGTGGGGGAAGGGGCAATTGTTTGCAGGTATGGCACAAATTGTTTAATTCAGGGCCACTTCCTGGATCACTGTTTTAGAGTGAGGTTACTGATTTGGAGGAGGCTTTTGGCTGCCAGGATGTATTGAATTGTAGCTGCTTATACCCTGAGAAGAAGGGTGTGTGATAATGACTTTTGGACTCCACATGAACTGGCTCTGTTTTGAGGTGGATGGGGAGTGGTGGTCTTTTTGATAGGTGTTCTACATACACACAGTAGAGACAGCCCTTCCCGCAAAGAGTTTACAGTCTGAACAGATCAGTCAAGAGAAAGGCTTTGTATTATCTTCATTTTACAAAGAGATTAAGGCCTGGTCTACATTTAAAAGTTTTGCCAACATAACTGCGTTGATAAGGAGTGTGAAAAAATCATACCCCTGAATGACATAGTCATGCAGCCAAAGCCCTGGGGTAGACAGTTATACTAGCAAAAAAAGAAAAAGAAGTAATTTTGGCAGTATAGCTTATTTCATTCAGGGAACTGGTATAAATTATACCAGCAATAGTAAATTTTTGCCAGTATGAGCGGCATTGCTGGTAGAAGGGAGTTGTTCTAGTGTAGATGAGGCATAAGCGGCTTGTCCTAAATGACAGAGAAAGTTTATAACAGGGCCGGGAATTGAACCCAAGTGTCATGAGTCCTAGTCGAGTGCCTTAATAACAAGACCAGCCTTCCTCCCTAGTTATTGACTGTCTAGTTAATTTAGAATTTTAAACATGCAGGTAACCTCAACTGTTTCAGGGACAGGGGAAATTTCTGTTAAATGAACAATTGCAGAACGCCATCAGCTCTCCTCAGAACAATCAGGGCAGATTTTTCTCTCACACCAGCGTAAATGAGGAATAACTCCAGTGAGCTCATTATGGTTACACCTGTATAAAACCTGTGTAGGTGATAAGGAAAATCAGGCTCTCATGTCTTTGCTAGTTTGTGATTCATAGTGAAATCCTGTTTAGTAAATGGCCAATATAAAGGAAAATCTCCATGAATGCATGAAACAGTAAATGAAAAATTATAATTGTTCACAGACTTGTTAAAGGTATAACACTAGGGACTGGCATGGGGGTGGTGGGGATGATTAGTTCTGTGCTGCCATGCAGGAACCTGGATTTGAGTCTTCTGGTGTCTCATTTTTAGAACCCCAGAAGTCAGATAGATCTATTTGCTAATTTATTTGAAAACTGTACTTAATGGGAAACACTCCAAAATAAATATCTGATAGAAAAATGTGTGCCTCATGTTAACACATTACTATCAGAAAGGAATATTTTAACTTCTGATCTGATGGGACTTAAGAGTATTCTCTAATTAACAGTTTAATGAACAAAACAGTTCAGATGAATAAGACCCTAAACACACACACACTTTAAAACATGCAACAAAATCACTTTTTCTTAAAACTTGGAATATACGTTTTTACTGAGGTTTGAAAAGGTATGTTTAACTATTTCCTCCCATTATTTTTTATTTTTACATATATAAAAATAAACAAATAAACAAAAACACCACACCACCAACAACTCTGTTAAAATAATATTATTTAATTTGCAAAGTCAAGCACTTGAAAGTTAGGAAATGACACATTTATGTCATGCATCCGACGAAGTGGGTATTCACCCACGAAAGCTCATGCTCCAATATGTCTGTTAGTCTATAAGGTGCCACAGGACTCTTTGCCTCTTTTACAGATCCAGACTAACACGGCTACCCCTCTGATACTTGACACATTTATGGTTACCCATGCAACCTTTAAACTGCCACCTTGTGTATCCATCCTATGAACTGAGTAAAGCAGACATTCTATGGAAAAAGTAGCATGCTGTCATGTAATTGAAGACTCTCATAATGCAAACACACAAGAGGGCTGAACTAAGGATGTGCAGACAACTGTAAATCTGGCATTCCCTAAATTTCGAGTGCTCAATTCTTTCCTGCAATGAAGAGTCATAGGTCATCAAGAGGGGACCACTGGAGCTGCATGATGGTGAAAGCCATTCTTGGAGCATTTATGGGGAACCACCAGGTTTTAGAAGCTTTAGGGGCTAGCAACCCAAGCCCCATGAGTCATGGTACACTGAATTAACCACAACTGAGGGCAAGTCTACACTACAGTGCTACATCGGTGCAGCTGCACCGCGTCTGGTGAAGATGCACTATGCCGACGGGAGAGCGCTCTTCTGTCAGCATAATTACTCCATCTTCATGAGAGGCAGAAGCTATGTTGGCAACAGAGCATCTCCCACCAACATAGCGCCGGTGTGGACAGTGCTTAAGTCGGTATAACTTGTATTGCTCAGGGCGGTGCATTTTTCACACCGCTGAGTGACTTAAGTTACATCAACTTAAGCAGTAGAGTAGACCAGCCCTGAAAAAGAAGGTTAAACAACTAGCCTAGCTTAGAAGGGAAGTGAAAGCAGCTTTAAAAAATACAATATAACACAAATGGAGAAAAGGGAAGTTGATAGCAATGAATATAAAATAGAAGCTAGGAATTGTAGAAAATTGTTAAGGGAAGCAAAAGGACACTAGGGGAACTCTGTGTCCATAGAGTTACCGATATGTTTTTTTAAATCTACCAGGAACAAAAGGAACACTGGCAGTGGTATTGGTCCATTGCCAAGTGGAAATGGTAGAAGCGTCAATAATAATGAATGAAAAGCAGAATTGCTAAGTAAATATTGCTGTTTTGTACTTGGGAAAAAGCCAGATGTCTTATTTATATCATATGTTGATAATGAAATGCTCTCCATTGCAACAATAACTAAGGAAGATGTTAAACAGTAGCTGCTAAAGTTAGACATTTTAAAATCAGCAGGTCTGGATAACTTGCATTCAAGAGCTTTAAAAGAGCAAGGAGCTTTCTGTACCATTAATGTTAATGTTTAATAAGTTTTGGAACACTGGGGAGTTCCTAAGATTGTCAATCCTCCAGGATTGTCCAGGAGTCTCCAGGAATTAAACATTAATCTTTAATTAAATATTATGTCGTGATGAAATCTCCAGGAATATGTCCAACCAAAATTGGCTACCCTAGAAGTTCTAGAGGGCTGGAAGTTGCTAATGTTTGCTAATACATAATAAGGGTAAATTGGATGATCCAGGTAATTATAGGCCTCTTATCCTGACATCAATTCTGGGCAAAGTAAGGCTGATATGGGTCTTGATTAATAAAAATATTAAAGGAGAGTAATATAATTAGTGCCAATCAACATGGGTTATTGGATAATAGATCTTGTCAAACTACTTGATATCCTGTTTGATAGAAGTAATAGTGTCTAATAGACTTCTGTAAGACATTTAACATGGTACCACATGACATTTTGATTAAGAAACTAAAATGATACATGATCAACAGGACACACATTAAATGGATTAAACATTGGCTAACTGATAGGTCTCAAAATGTATTTGTAAATGGAGAATCCTCAGCAAGCAGATGTGTTTCTGGTGTCACCCTGCAGGAATTGACTCTTGGCCCTATGCCATTTAATGTTTTTATCAAGGACCTGGAAGATAATATAAAATCATTACTGATAAAGTTTGCAGATGACACAAAAATTAGGAGATTGGTTAAATGTATTAGAGAAGCGTTCTCTTCATTAGAATGATCTGGAATGCTTGATAAACTGGGTGCAAGCTAACAATGTGAATTGCATCCAGCCAAATATAAAGTCATACATTTAGGAAGAAGGAATGTAGGCCGTATTTACTGGATGAGGGACTCTTATCCTGGGAAGCAGTGACTCTGAAAAGTATTTTTGAGGGATGTATCATGGTGGATAATTTGATGAACATGAGCTCCTGGAGTCACACTGTGGCCAGAAGGGCTAATGCAATCCTTTATTCAGGGGAATATTGAGTCAGAGGAGGGAGGTTTTACTACCTCTGTATTTGGCATTGGTGCCACTGCTCCTGGAATGCTGTAGCGAGTTCTGGTGTCCACACTTCAAGTGTGAAACTCCAAGCGCTCAGTCTATATAGTTTATCAAAGAGAAAGTTAAAAAATGATTTGATCACAGTCTATAAATAACTACCTGGGGAACAGAAATTCAATAATAAAGGGCCCTTCAATCCTGCAAACTAAGGTATAACTTGAGCCAATTGCTGAAAGTTGAAGCTAGACGAATTTAGACTAGAAGTAAGGTGCAGTTTTTATCAGTGAACAGTTTATCAAGGATTGTCCTGGAGTCTCCATCACTGGACATTTTTAAATAAGATTGGACATGTTTCTAAAAGATAGGCTCTAGTTCAATCGCAGCTACTGGACATGAAGCAGGATTTAATTCAGGAAAGCCCTAGGGTTTGTGTTATGCAGCAAGTCAGACTAGATGATCACAATGGTTCCTTCTGGCTTTAAAAGCTCTGAATCTCTGAATCAGAACAAAAATTTGTGTGCCAAAGCACTGCAGTGACCCCATTCGAGACAAAGATTACAATTTCATAGTAATCTGAGCTGCACGACTAGAGCACCAGATGCTTTGTGGACTGTCAGGTGAGAAGCCTACCGA